GATATATTATAACATAAAAATAGAGAAAGGAGAAACAATAAAAGCACAAAAGCAAAAAAAAAGACGACAAGACAAAGAACGTAAAATCAGCGAAATAAGCTAAAAACGAAGGATGTAGAAGGTAAAAATAAAAAAAAAATATAAGTAACCAAAGTTCACTTCATCCCTGTGTTTATGCAAAATTTTTTTACGGTTCAATGTCTATATTTTTGTTTTCTTTTTTTATTTTTGCAATATTTTCCCTTTAAATTCTGTGTTCTATTTTTTTTTCTTTTATTATTTTATTATTATCATTATTATTATATGGTTATTGTTGTTTTTCTGTTATAGTTGTAAATATCCTTGTTATACTTGGTATTGTTAAAAATAAATTTGGTTATCAACATTTTCTTAAAATTTTACTGTTCAATTTTGTATAATATTATATAATAAAGCATAAGATAAAAGGCGGAAAGTAATATTTATTTAAGAATTTATTATTTTATTTAATAGAAACATTAAGTTAGCGAACTGAAATTTAACAAAACTTTTATGAGCACAAATACACTAAAATTTAAAAAATCGAAAATTTTTTATGAATTTTTAATCGTGCCATCACAAATAATAATGAAAATATGCGGAAAATTTGTTTTGGATAAGGTATAATTAACAATAATTTACTTTGATACATTTCTAAAGTTATCATACATGTCTAATGTTGTAGTTCATTTATGTACACACACATAATATGATGTGCGTATAATATTTTTGGAATCATTTGCAAAAAATTGATTTGTCCAAAGAAATTAATAATTATTCAATCACAAATTACGTTAGCTAGACTTAGAGTGGAATTAAGGTAAACTGGAGGCTTATGTAGTTTTAGGTAAAGTTTTTATTTGAAAAGTAACAATTGGTTTAGCAAGGAACGCATCGCGAAAATTAATTTGATCATATATACGTACTGTAAATTATCAAATTTGGGTGTGCATTATTACAGATTTTTTATGTAAAAGGTAAGACCAAAGCTCATTTAAATTGAGCGTTTTATTTGCATAAATGTAGAATGTCCTATATTTCTAGTTGGATATTAATACAGTAGAATAAAATTTATGTTGAATTTTAGAAAATTCTATAGAGATTTCGGGAAAATACTGAAATTATTAAAATTATCAGCAATTTTAACATGTTAAAACGAAATATTTTATTTTAATTTAAGAAAAATAAGGTCCTAACAATGTTTCTATAGTAGCAATCAATTTTATTTTAAAAATTCACTTTTTTTCTCAATTCCTCTTTTGATATGGAAATGCTTATGTAAACAAATAAGACTTTGGCTTTATTATTAGACTCTTAAATCTGTTGTATCTCAAACAAAATTTGCAGAAATTTACTATGGAATGGAAATATACAGAGTTTACTAATGTATAAAATTGTGTGCCAGTACTTGGTGTAAGAAAATTCACTCTCTTTGAAATAAAAATACTAAATTTTCAGAGCACTTTTTTCAAACATGTTGAGAAAAATAGTTCTCAAATGTTAGAACGTAGCAAAATGTTTAACGTTTTTAATAGAGAAAAATAATTTTTAAATATAAGGGAGAGGATGTAAAGATCCTCTCAACATAAGAAAAGATAAAAATTTTGCTCGAAACTGAATTTTATGGTAATTGTTTCAAAAAATTAAAATTATTCAAATGATGGATAGAGGTCAGGAAACCTACTAAATCTTTTATGAATTGAAATTTTATAATAACACGGAGAAAAACGTGAACAGAAACTAATTTCAAAATTACAAAAAATCTTCGTTAATTATTAAAAATTTAAAGGATTTAGAATGCTTAAAATTTAAAATAAATTTGATATTTTTCTGTTTTTGATTGAATTTTATAACATTTATGTAAAATATTTCTTAATTGATGTTAGACTTATATTAAATATTAAAGTAATTGATTGAGAAATTATTGTATAGGCAAGACAATTTTAAAATATTTCATATTTTGGAAAATGGTTTCTAATCTGGAAAAAATTTATGATTATTGTTAATTCTGTCCATTAAAACGTTAATGGATCTAAGAAAATTTCTTTGGCTTATACAGTAATAATAATACTTACCCAAACTATAATGCAAAATTATTGAATAGCTTCGAACTTATAACCATGAATCATCAAACTTAATGCATAATTTTAATATATGTATATTCATATAAAACCAGAATCATATATACCACATAAAAGGTTAGTTAAAGTTTGCATTTTTTACGTTTGAAGTACAATTGTTGATTGAAGAAATTAAAGAAGTCGTTCTAATTTCATATATCCGATTTCCACATAAAGTCATCAAAACAACAATACAAAAGAGATTTTCTTTTTTGAATTTTCATGATGATAAAATAATTTGAAATTTTGCCTTCTAAAGCTAAAAACTTCCCAAAATTTATTTCTCCTTATCCTTTATACATAAAATCGACCTGCTTTTTAATATTTCCATATGCATTTTTCTCTTTGTGTTATGGCGTTATTCTCCTTTGTTTTTAATGATTGCTTTGAAAAGCATAAAACAAAAAGCCCGATAACGAAAGATAAAAAACAAAAGAAAGAATACCACAAACAAACAATAATTTTTGCTTTAGAACTCAGGTGCAAATTATGATAAAAGAGGACTGCCAAGGTTTTCATTGATCGTTTCTCTCTTTATTTTTATAATTTAATTTATGTTTTAGACGTGAGTTCTTTTTTTTTGTTTTTTTGTTGTTTGTCCATTTTTCAGCAATATGCGGGGATTTAATTTTAGCTTCCCTCTTACCATAACGTATACCAACGAATATTATATTTATTTTTATGTTTGAATGCTTTGAGTTTGTTTTATTCAACATTTTCATATAAAATTTTAAAAAGGAAAAACCTAAATATAAAGCAGATACTAAAAGGAAATCATACGGTGGCAAAACACATTTCATTCTCAATGAAATTAATTTAATCGTATGTCTTTCTTATATAAATGTTTTTGAAAGAGAATGAATTTTTTGTCCTTTGATTTTTATATTCGAATAAACTGAAAAAAAATATTATGAATGTTCTAATAAATATAAAGGAGAGAAAAGAAAACAGCCTCGTGAAGGATTAATTTAATACACATATCTTCTTTTATGTCTTTTATGTAAATACATAAAGACAAAAGTGAAATATGAAACTGCTGACTGAAAGAACATGGAAAGTATTTTGTAACTGGCAAAAATTTCTAACTCATAGACCAGCATCCTCACGATAATATTAAATTTTATTTATTTTTAGAATTTTGTTTTAAATAATAGGGAAATTTTTATCATAATAACGGGTCTATCATTTTTTTTGTTTTCTTTTTCTTCTGTCTCTTAAATAAATAAATTATCCTTTTCTTTTTCAATTATGCATATCGTAATATGGTCACATAAAAATATGTACTTATGTGTATATATTTTTTTTATGAACCAAAGCATTTTATGAAAAGATTTTACGGTGCTAAGCAAATTTTAAATTTATCTCATTTGTAGATAATATTCGGATTATTTACTTGGATAAGTGGAAATTTTTCATAAAGCAATTAATAATTCACTAGAAAAAAATTTTTTTTTTGTGTACATAGTATGTATATATATGTACGGAGTGTTTCGCAAAAAAATTGTATGGGGGTGGCCCGATGGTAACTCTTTGTCGCGTTTTTCCGAAGCTATACCCGTTTATATATGTTATGTAAGAAAAATACGGTTTTTTGAACAGACCGAAGCTCGAAAACTAGTATATCTGCACCACTTGCCCCAACCGTCAATTACAATTTCTTGCTAGAAATTGATTAAAAAATCATCCCTGATATTGTTTACCACCTTATGCGAGACACTCTGTATACATCCATGATTTATTATGAAATAGAAATTTTAAATAAAAAATTCTACTTATACATATAATTCACCATGTTTATTTAAATACACGTATTAAATTAAACAATGCGAATTGTATGTAACCAAATTATACATCAGTTTATAAAATAAATTATGAGTATACATATAGTATACGTATGTATATATATATTTAAAAATAATATTTGTCTTATACAGACATGTGTATCTAGCTTGCACGGGTATATTTTATTGGATCAGGTTCAAAAAACTGTGAACTTTGCTTTTCAAATATTTCACAATTTTTCTGTACATTATTTTTTCGCTTTACTAATATCATAAATTTTTTGCTATGCCAGGATATCACTATAATAAAGAAGTTATTTTAATAAAAATATTGAAAGTTTTTGACACGATACCAAATCAAAGCTTAATAAACTCTTGTATAATATTACCAGAATAATTTTATACTTACATAAATGTATTATTATTTTTTTTATTTTGTATTTCTCTTTACCTAGTAAAAGACCAAGTTCTCTTTAAAATGAAATTTAGTCAAAATTATTACGGGTAATCAGCAGCAAATACAATCTTCATTACTTTAATTAATAAAGCTGTAGGGAGAAAATTCAATAGTATTTGTAATAAAATTTCTTTTTAATTCTAAAATCTTACTCTTGAAATAATCTTATCTAAACTGGCATTTTTGGAAATTCAGGGCTCTCTCAATGTCAGGGCCTTGTTTTGTTTTTGTATTCCAAAATACAAAAGCTTGTATAAAGAACTAAAAAATGAAACTTTTTTCTACATACCAAGATAAGATACGGTAGCAAGTAGGTATGAATTGTCAAAAAAAATATTTCTTTTCATAATACAAATACATACACATATATACATAGTATTAAATTATTCATAATTATCAATCGATTTTAAAATGTCAAAATTTGGTTTTTGACTAGATTTCAGCACTTATTTGTTGTTCATACACGTACATGTATCATCTAAAATAATCTAATGCAATCTATGTTGTTTAATTAAAACTAACTTGTGGTTAATTTCGCCGCACTAAAAACAAAATTCTTGATTTATGAAAGTTTTCTAAATTTTCAAACATCTTTTATTACTATTCTCAAAATAATTAGCTTGCTATTCATTAACAACTTTATCTACCTAGTCATAATCCATTCATATAGCACGAAACAGCCAAATGTAACTCCTATAATACCAAAATATCCAGAATATATAAGATATTGTCCAAAAATATCAATTAGAATGACATGTCCATCAACAACCACAACTGTTAGAATTGTTTGTAATACTAAAGCAATAAATGTATTTATTCCAAATACCAAACCGAAACTATCTTCTTCCAAATGTTTAGCGACTTCAGCACTAGCAACTGTAATTGAAAAAGCATAAACTGCACCAAAGACAATATAACCAGCATAAGCTAAATACAATTTATTAGGTAAAATTGCCATTAGAAGTGCACCACCCTTGCATATTGATAAAATTGATAAAACTAATAGACTTGAATTGTTACTTAAACGACCGGCATGTATATATCCAGCCGAAAGTGCACAAATAGCTCCTAAAAATGTTAAAGCTGCATCAACCATACCATTCCAAGCTACAACTGGATTTTCATCAATTGCTTTCCATAAAGTTTGAATATAAGAAATTACTTGCAAATATCCACATAAAACTGTTGAATACCATATACTCCACTGAATAATATAACGGTTCGTGTAAGCATTTTTAAAATGTTGAAAAATTAATTTGAATGGATTTGGTTTTGTCTTTGTTGATATTGTAACAGCCTGTGGTTCCATAATATTATTAGTACTGGAATGACTAGTTGCACTATCATCATTCACTTCATTTTTAAAAGATTCTTTTCTATGAAAATAAACGGTTGTTTTAACATTTGGTAAAAAAAACGCCCATATCGTTGATGCTATTTGTGTTGCCAACGTTATATAATTTAGTTCTAAATAATTCATCCATTCAAAATATACAAGAATTTGTGATGTTACACTTGCAATCAATTTACCAACTAATAAAGCGGCTCTGGTATGTGATGTTACTTTTGGATAATATTTTTTATCTACTTTTGCATAAATATAAGTAAAATAAGCTATTTCAGTGGCCATATAAGTACCATAAAATACTTCTAATATTTGTAATTCTAATAAACTTTTCGTCCATATTAACATTGACCAAACTGAAATGCCGGCTAATCCAGACACAATAATAAGCGGTTTGTATTTAAAAAAATCTGTTATTAAAAATATTAGAACAAGTTGAGCCAAATATGAATATGTTCCAACTGGTAAAGCATCTCGATAAACCTCTTCTAATGTAACATTTCTCCATTCGCCTACCAGGAATTCAGTTACATATGGTTCAGATGGTCGAGTTTCACGTAATAAACCGTAAACGCATAGTAATGCGGATATTTTTAACCACTCTTTCATTTCACTTATTTGTTTTCTGGTTTTTTTTTTAACTAATAAAATTAAATCCACAACTGTTACGATTTTTATTCGATTTTGTTTAGTTTTACTATTGCTTCATAAATTCATTAAAAACCATCATTTTGCTATTTTATTTAAAACAAAACAAAATACAATTTTCTGCGTATTCATCCACATAAAGATTACTACTGAATATTAATACTATAAAAAAGGAATTAACTGAAATCCAAAATATTTTAAAAAAACCTAATCTAATCTGAAAAAAATTATTAAATTAAATAGAAAACTTCTATTGTTGATAAAATAAACACTTATAAACAATACTTCTTAAGTGTATGATTTAAAAAGAGTACAACGCTTTGTTATGTTATTACTTTCTCTTATTACTTTGCACCTTTATAAATGAGTCCCATAAAAGTAATTAAATATTTGGCCGCCTTTTAAAGATAAATTATTTAAGAGATTTTTATAGTTTATTTACCTGAATGAGCACCGTCTTGTCTAAAATATAAAGTTATATGTATACATAAATGAAAATTTCTATACATGACCATGTAGAGCGAGAAAAGAGGTGGATTAACTTTCATTATCAGTTGAAATATTTTTTGTTTTATATTTTATATTCAAAAACAAACATATCAACAAACAATGATATGTAGGTGATTAAATTAATAACTTTATTTTAATACTTTAAAGATATCTGAGCTATGAATATATAGGAAGTGATATAAAGTTGTATAAATCAAAATATATCAAATTTCAATTAGCAGTATTTAATTTCCGGTGATAAAAATATTAAAATTTATTTTTTATAAAAAATTTATTGATGTATGCTTAAATTAAATAAAATTTTATATCTTCAGCAACGAAGACATAAACTGCAGTATTAATAATTTTTTGTACAGTAGAAATTGAATTGCCAAAGACAACGTCTTAGATTTTTGTCATGTGAATCTTTGAGAACGCGAATTTGTTGCAGTCAAAAATTTCTATTGCATATTTAATTTAAACAACAAAACATGTGTGAGACTGCGAAAATAAAACGGTAAAAGTCAGTTGGAATTAAATAATTTGTTTAATTGTGTGAAAATTTGGTACTTGCTTTTCATAATATGAATTTACCGCTTGTGATCATTTCGGGAAAATAAACCAAAAACTTAAAAATATTAGTAGCCAAAAATATTTGGTAGTTGCATATGAGAACACAGCATAAGAATAATTTACGTCAAGACGAAAATTACCCCTGGAAACAAGAACTAATGTTGTTAGTGAATACCAAAGATTATAAAATTACAGCCAGTCTGGCAGTCGGTAGAATATTTGATATTAGTGTCGAAGGTGTTAAAAAAAATAATTCTTAAAAGCAAAAATAATGATTATATGGTAACAAAAATTCAAAAACAGCTTGAGGAAACGGTCACTAAAGTACCTAAGATTATCATCTTAGATATCGAAGACACAAAAAGAAAACCATTGTTGAGCATCATGACTTGAATTTGCCAAAAATTTTAAAATAAACTTGTAGAATTTTAGAATGGGATTATGAATTTTACTAATATAACATCATAGTTGCGGAATTAATAAGAATGTGCTTATTACACTACTAATTTATCTTAATGGAAATTTCTTCATGCAACTGCAGAACAGATGGATGACGTAATCAAAGGAACGAGTTAAAGGCAGAAAAATTCATTAAAAAAATTTTTCTCCTCGAACTGGACTCGAACCAGTGACCTACCGCTTTCTAGGCGGACGCTCTACCAACTGAGCTAAAGGGGCATGAAGAAATTGCCGACGAAATGTTCTCTACATTGCTTATACTGTAATTTACATGATTACTAAGTATTTGTTTTGTTTACATTGATTGCTACATACAATCTACTATTGAAACACACAATAACAAGAACATATATATTTATAGGATTGTGCCTATTGCACTAATTAAATTATGAATTTTACTAATACAACATCATAGTTGCGGAATTAATAAGAATGTGCTTATTACACTACTAATTTATCTTAATGGAAATTTCTTCATGCAACTGCAGAACAGATGGATGACGTAATCAAAGGAACGAGTTAAAGGCAGAAAAATTCATTAAAAAATTTTTTCTCCTCGAACTGGACTCGAACCAGTGACCTACCGCTTTTTAGGCGGACGCTCTTTTAACTCGTTCCTTTGATTACGTCATCCATCTGTTCTGCAGTTACATGAAGAAATTTTCTTTTAGAATGGGATTATTTTGAGTTATTTGGAGATCATCGATGTCAAAAGATTTGGAGAAAGAACAGTAATAATCCTTGTAAATCAATTATTTTTCTTGGTTTGGAAAATGTCAATCACATATAGAAAAATAAAACTTGTTTCTTGCTGCAACATATTAAGGACCATTTTGCATGAGTCAGCTAATGCAATGGAGTTGAGTCGATGTTTCACTTTGCAGTAGGATAACGACCGAAAGCACACAGCCAAAATTACTAAAAGACTATTATTGCAAAAAATTAAATAAATTTATTGGATTGGCCATCAATATAACTAGATCTCATTCAAATAAAAAATTTTCGAAATGAGTTAGACTGCAGAGTTCCGTTTATTTTAAAATCAAAACGTGTTCAAAAACTGAAAAATTCTTTGAAAGTTTGTATGCCTTACACCAGGATATGTTGAAAGGTTTGATAGAATCTACACCGAGAAGAATTAAGGATGTGATCAATAATAAGGATGGTCACACAAAATATTATAAAAAAACATTTCCATGTGTGCGTTATTCTTTTGTTAATTAACTTCAACTTTCTTTAAGTTTAAATTTTTGTTTAAATTTTTGCAATATTTTTTTTCTTTTCTTCTTATTTATTTTAAAACGTTAATGAGTTTTTTAATTTTGAATAATATTAGTTTTTAGTTCCTCAAATAATATCGTATAACCAAAAAAAAAAAATTAATTTTAATACATAAAATTACTCCCGATTTCATCTAACTTTTGGTGCCCACTGCAAATATAACTTTATTTTTTTTATGGAAAAAAATAGGAACAAACCGCTACATTGTGATTTGTGCGCCACACGTAGCCGCTGAAGACTGACAGGTTGACAAAAATAGTTTATTTACACTTCCCTACCATGGAGAAGTGCGTTCCCATCGAAAACTCGTTATGCAAAATTTATTGCCATCCCATAACCTACCTATTTTATACACAATATCGTCGGTAAAAAATAAAATATTATGCGATTTGCCATTACAGTTAGTTTGGAAAATCATAAGTGAAAATTATTTTTTAACCGCATTATCAATAAGAAAGGAAAACCAAATCTAGTTTGTGTGTTAATAATTTTCACAAGCATTTGTATTTATTAAATCTTATTAATATTCGTAATGCTAATTTTTTAGAAACACAATTTTATACAATAATTGTAACACGTATATAAAAAAAATTCATTCACCTAAATTTTCTAATAATATATTCATATAAAACCAAAATATAAAATGAAATGCCAATTGTAATGAAATACCCTGCATATATGAGAAACTGTCCATAAATATCTAATAAAAAAACGCTTCCATTAACAACCAAAATTGTTAGAACTGTCTGCAACAATAATGCGACAAATGTGTTTATTCCAAATATTAAACCAAAACTGTCTTCTTCTAAATGCCGAGCGACTTCACTACCGCACACAGTAATTGAAAATGCGTAAATTGCGCCAAAAATAGCATAGCCCGCATAAGCAGAATATAAGTCTTTTGGTAATGCTAATAATAGTACTACGCAACCCTTGCATATTGACAGTGTTGATATTATAAGAAGGCTTGATGTATTACTTAAGCGACCACCGTGAAGATATCCAGCCGACAAAGCAGAAAGACATCCTAAAAATGCTAAAATAGCTTCAACTATTCCATTCCATGCAATAGTCGGATTAATTTCGATTTCTTTCCATAATGATTGAATATATGAATAAATTAGTAAATTACCACATAAAAGAGTTGCGTACAATATACTCCATTGTATAACACCCCGATTAGTATATGCGTTTTTGAAATGAACATAAATTAATTTAAACGGATTTTGCTTACGTTTTGGTGGTATAATACACTCAGATGAACTGGTTGTATTTTTTAAATTGATATCATTGGTAGATTCTTGTTTGCTCAATTTTCCATCAACAGACTCTTTCCTATGAAAGTAAACAGTTGTTTTGACATTCGGTAAAAAAAGTGCCCATATTGTTGATGCTGCTTGAGCGGCCACTGTTATATAGTTTAAACCCGTATAGTTCATAAGTTGAAAATACAATAATATTTGAGATGATATACTCGATACAAGTTTACCAACTAATAAAGCTGCTCTAGTATGTGATGTTACCTTTGGATAATATTTTTTATCTACTTTGGCATATATATATGTAAAGTAAGCAACTTCAGTGGCGAATGTTGTACCATATATTCCAATTAGAACTTGTAACTCTAACAATGTCTTTGCTAATGCTATTGTGCCCCAAATTATGGAGCCAACTAATCCAGATAAAATAATTAACGGTTTATATTTAAAAAAATCTGTTATTAGGAATACTATCACAAGTTGTGCTAAATACGAATATGTTCCAATAGGTATTGCATCTCGATAATATTCCTCAAGTGTATAATTTTTACTTTCGCTAAATAAAAGCTCAGTAAGATACGGATCTGATGGTCGAGTTTCTCGTAATAAACCGTAGGCGCATAGAAGTGCCGATACTTTAAACCAATCTTTCATTTCACTTTTTCAATTTATATTTTATTTAAAGCAAAGAAATAATGTTTTAATTTCTCAAAAATTTTGCATACTTTGTTTTTCCTATTATTCTTAATAATACTTTTTTCCGTTTCATTAATTCTTCTACTGAAATATTTTGAACATCAAACCTATGTTTAGTATCCAAAACTTTCTGAAATGTAATCTTATCTGCAAAATATGTAGATAAGTGTTATGATAATTTATTTTATGGTAGATAACATGTGTTATGACAAATGATGCTAAATCATGTATTAATAAATTTCTCAGACATCATGTTACTACGATTAATAAGATTGCAATTGGGTCAAATTCGGAAATAATGAATGCAAGCAATATAATTGCAAGTTTATACATGACACTCTATTGCACGAATTAATTCCATCCAAAAACTAAAGAAAATTCAAAATAGATCCCAAAGTTTACTTAAGTTACAGTTTTTGTTCCAATAAAACTAATGACTTACAGATTTTTTATAAGTATCAACTCGGTTCCTAAAAAGAATATTACTTAACTCCTTTAATTATCAACTTTAAGACTAAATATATAATTCCACTGCAAACTACAATAAAACATTTCATTATGCAAAAATTGAACGTGCTTTTTAATTATATTTTTTATGATTCTTCTATTAAAATTTATTTCGTTTGAAATATCCTAAGGAAAACTAAATTCAATTAAATTTTGCAAATTATTTTATAATTAAAGTTTATTCAACCACTTATCGAGCAACACAAGTTTCAAACAAAATAAAAAGGCAAAATGAAACACCAACAGTTATAAAGTATCCAGAATAAACGAAATATTGTCCAAATATATCCAGTAAAATCACACTTCCATCAACAACCAACACTGTTAAAATTGTTTGTATGACTAATCCAATAAACGTATTTACGCCAAATACTAAACCAAAACTGTCTTCTTCTAAATGCTTAGCAACTTCACTACTAGCAACTGTAATTGAAAAAGCGTAAATTGCGCCAAAAATTGCATAACCGCCATATGAAAAATATAAGTTGTGTTGTAAAGTTGTAAACAATATTACACATCCGTTACATATTGATAATACAGATAGAAAAAGGAGGCTCGATGTATTACTCAAACGTCCTGCATGTAAATAACCAGCAGACAAAGCGCATATAGCACCTGAAAATGTAAAAATAGCTTCCACTATACCATTCCATATTATAGGTAGATCCTTTTCAATTTCTTTCCATAATGTTTGAATATATGCAGTAACTTGAAGGTAACCGCATAAAACAATTGCATACCAAATGCTCCATTGTATAACATATCGATTCGTATAGGCATTTTTAAAGTGTGTATAAATGAGCTTGAATGGATTTTCTTCATTTTTTGATTGTATTATATTATCTGTTGAGCTAGCCATATTATTTATATTTATACTATTACCATATTCGCTTTCTTTAGATTCGTTACTTAAAGATTTTTCTCTGTGAAAATAAATCGTTTTTGTAACATTTGGTAAAAATATAGCCCAAATTGTTGCTATACTCTGTGATGCTAATGTTATATAATTTAATTCCATATAGTTCATCCATTCAAAATATATTAATATTTGAGCTGATATACTTGCTACAAGCTTACCAATTAATAATGCTGCTCTTGTATGTGATGTTACTTTTGGATAATATTTCTTATCTACTTTAGCATAAATATAAGTGATGTAGGCTACTTCTGTTGCTAAATAAGTACCATAAAATAGTTGAAATATTTGTATTCCAAATAAAGTTTTTGTCCATGTTAATACAGCCCATATTACTACACCTGATAAGCCGGACAATACAATTAATGGTTTATATTTAAAATAATCCGTTATTAAGAATATTATTATCAGTTGACTTAAATGTGAATATGTTCCTATAGGCATTGCCTCACGAGTAATACCTTCTAATGTTAAATTTTTCCATGGTCCGGTCATAAATTCGATTCCATATGGTTCGGATGGTCGATTTTCTCGGAAAAAACCAAATACACTCAGTAAAATTGAGATTTTTAACCATTCTTTCATTTTTCACACTCTTTTTTTGAGTAATTTTTAGATAATAAGTATCTATTAGACTTGTGTATTTTAAATAATATTTGAATACTAATTAAATTAAATAAAATTTTATTAATTGTTTGCCAAGTACTAATTTACATTAAGTTTTTTAATATTTCTTTCTCGTTTGACTAGATTCGCGTATTTAATGATATCAAAACAAAATTAGAAAGTTTATTTCCCCATTTGAAAAAATGTAAAGGGATGTAATAGTTATCCAATCTTATCTACTTCATATAAACTTAAAAAAATTTTGCTTTATCTTAGACAAAAGTTTCCAGCAAACATAAGTCATTTACTTATGCCAACATATTCGTACATCATTTAATTTTGAAAAATATTAAGATAACAATATTTTTTGCAAAATCAAGTTTAATGTAGGTGCGTATATTTTGATTTTTGTATACGAATAGTGCTCTTTAAAGTCTGAAAGAAATTGATAATTTAATTTATTTAAGAATTAAATATTTTGAAGTCATACACTGAGAGAAAAAATTATAAAAGCCACATGATAAGAGTCCTTAATTAAGTTTTCAACACGATTCTCGATTAATTCTTTTTGTATATTGTTGTTATAGTTGTGTTTTAAACAATGAATGATTAAACTAGTGTTGAAGGTCACTAACAATGAATGATAATTTTCCCAAAATAGTCATTTATTATTAATGAACTTCAACACTACGAAAGCGATTCTTTCCTGCATGGATACATCAAACTTATAAATATCGTTCTATATATTACACAGGTAAAGTCTACATTTAAGTGTAATGCATTTCCTAAGCCTATAAAAAGTCAAAAATTTTACAGTTATAACGTTTTCATATTGGGAATTGCCAAATTGCAAGCTTAAAAAAAGTAAGATATTGGTTTAATTGCCAATTGAACCACAATGTCTTACTCTTTTTAAAATTAAATGATAAAAAATAACTTTTTAACAATTTATCATTAATTTCAATATGAGACCTTCTTGAAAAGTAGATCGAATTCCGCCTTATTTGCGTTTTTGAACATTGCATTATCTCAATTGTATCGACAGGAAAATCTAGCCTATCTCAAGTCTAGCTATTTTATCAATAAAGAATTTAAACTAATCGAATTAAAAAATAGAAAATTTTATTTAAATTTCTGGCAATGTAAAATTAAAATACTAAAAATTTAATTTAAGTTTTATTTTAGTTTGACATAAGTTTAATTTAAGTTTGAATTTAAAATAAAATTAAAAACAAAACATATTTTTTCTCAGTGAAGGTGCTATTAAAACAATATTACAGGGTCTACTTCTATTCTTTATTTGTGGCTCTAATTTAACCAGAAAATTTTAATTGAAACGGAAATTCTCAATCAATCAAATATAAATTAACAATATAATTTAAGAATTATATAGGGAAATTTTACTATAATTAGAAAAATGATTAAAAATAAAAAAAGTATTTTTAGCACCCTATATATACTTTACAAAATTTTATCTTCCCGCTGTAGTATAACTATAAAATACTAATTGGGATCGTTTTTATTTCCTTAAAAAATGCTTAAGTACTTTAATATAGATAAGGAATTTTATTAGCACCCACTAAGCTCTTATTTTTTTTTATATAGCTTCAAATTTCTTATAAACTAATAGTTAATAAACTATTTAAAAGTATAAGCACGTATGCGATTTATTTAATTTTTTAATCAAAAAATTTATTTTTTATTAGATAATAGAAGCCTAACCCAATAAATTTGAGGTTATGAGAAAATGTTAACAATTTTTTTAATGACATTGAAATTATCTTAAAATAAACAACTGTTATATGACATATTTGAGCGATATTTTTTATTGATCACAGTACACTTAAATTGAAACAGTAAATTAATGACCACAGAAAAATCAAGCACAATCGAATTATAAAATAATTTGAAATTCTCATTTTCATTATTTTTATTGGGATTTTTAATTCATTTTTATTTCTTTATTAAATATAACAGTTTCTTTTCCAAAGAATTTTCATTTGCTTGAATTCTTAATATTCTCTTATAAATGTATGTGAAAACACTTTCTAATTTTTAATATTAAACTTTTTAATTTATTAAAACAATTTATTTTCTACATTTCAACTTTATATCAAATTTACTGAATCACTTTCATTTTTACGTTTTTTTGTTTTTTTTGCTTTCCTTATTTAAAATGAAACTCATTCAGAAAGAAAAATGAAAACAAAATCAAAAATAAAAACAACAATATTTAATGATTTCCCCAAATCTGTCAATTTCAGTTTTTCTCTGTATCTCTGTATCCCTTTTTCCTCTTTTCATTTTTTAAGATTTAAGTAGCAGGAAATCACTTTGATTCAAATAGTATAATTCAATTATTTTGCTTTTTACTTAAAATCACTCACATTTGAGTTTATTTTTCGAGTAAAATTTATTCAAAAAACAAAAAAAAAAAACAAGATACAAACTCAGTTAATAAAAATTTGAAGGGTCCGCGCAATACCGATCACAAAGTATATTTTCTGATTTAACAGAAGTATTAAAATTTCCTTGAAACACTTATGTTAAATTCCACGAAAACCAGCATCACTTCATTTAGTATGTCTAGAAAAATATAAAATTGGTTCTTAGTACACATTATTTTACATGATGCGATATCTCTGAATTTGTCAGTTAGTTTCCGTCAACAAACAGAATTAAATATTGAATTTATAAAATTCCTTCAATTATGGCAGAAAATATCTATTCCGTCCGAAACCTACCTTAACGTACTGTAATGCCAAAGATTAGGGTTTATATTGTAAATGATTAAAAACGTGGAATTAGCAATTGCTAAAAGTCCAGTTGTTAAGACGTACCATATTATCTTAAAAGTTAATAAAACCGTCCCACCATCAAAATAAACTGTACGATATAAATTTTCGTAAAAATCGGTTCAGCCAAACTTGCTTACCCGAACTAATGGACTTCTTTATCATACTCGTAGATGTCGTTTTGAAAATTCAACAGGTGAAATTTGATGTGATGACAGTCTTCCTAAAGCATACGATCGAAAAAAAACAATAAATAAGAAAAATTCCAGAGAAAAGAAAAATAAGATTCTTTTTTACGTTTCATTTTTGTGATTTGCAGTAAAGTATGAAACAAAAATCCTATTTTCCAATACGAAACAAAAAATACAATGAGGAAAAACAAAAATCTTTGACAGATTTGGTTTTTTTTTTCATTCTTTTCCTTTAATGATGTTTGTTTTTTTTTTTGTTTTTGGTTCCATTCTTCACAACAATTTCTTGATTTGAACTCTTCAAATTAATCTTGAAAATTTTCAATGTGTTTCTTTTAAGAAAAATTCTTAAAGAAAAATTTTCCTTAAATTTGTTTTCAATTTTTTGAGAGTGAAGAAATAATGAAGTCGCAATTGTTATCCTCACGATTGTAGTACATTGTAGTTTAAGAAAATTTTCGATGAAAATCACTTGTATCGTACTGTAAGAAAATTGTTTGACTACTCATATTTTGTGCTACTATAATATTTGAACTAATAAGAAATGTTTTTTTTTAAATTTTAAATAAAAAAAAAACAAATGTTTCAACTCTTCATTCACCAATTCGTGCACATGAGAAGGGAAAAATTATAAACAATTAGAATACGCTTTGCCTCAATCTCCAAAAGTTGATTGCTGATTTAAATTGGAAAAAAAAAAATTATTTTTCGTAAGCTTCGCCATTTAACGCCAAGGCTCTTCAGGTTCGGTACGGTGCAAAATAAATATTTGTATTGTATAAATAAATATTAACTGATCAAATACTGTAAACAATTAGATCAAGAACGCATGCTTCACAGTAATTCAAGTTCTACATCTAGAAGACATTCATGACCTTTAATTTTGATTAATTTTATTATGATATTTTATTTTTAGAATTAGAACAGGAAATACGTGCTAATTTCTATTATCATAAATTGTGACAACAATTACGTGATTATTTTCTAATATTTTGCCTTATAAATCTGTGTCAAGCGTAGGTGTAAGATGAAGGGAAAAAGTGTTGAGCGTTCATATTTTAGAGGGGGCAATTCTACATGGAGAATCTATTAAAACAAAATTCGAGTACGTAAATTATGTAAAATTTGGTATATAGATTATGAAAAATAGCTTGATATGTCATTTACACTTCCTTTTCAAGCTATTTATATACATACTACATGCTCACATTGATATGTATGTATGTTCGTGAATAAGTAATTTAAAATTCAAATTAAGTGCCTGTCTATGATTTTCTTTTTTGTTCCGTTTTCCTTTCTAATTTTTGTTCTTTTGTTTTTGGGAAATTTTTAATTTTAGAGCATGAGACTAGGAGGAAAACATAAGAAACGAATCGTTTTTATTTTTAATTTTTGTAATGCCTTTTTTTTTTGTATTTTTCTTTCTCATTGTCTTTTCAAATGAAAATAATAATTTAAAAAGGGTATTTAGAATAAAATTGAATCAAAAAGCATCACAGTTCCAAATAAAAACAACACAAAGTGAGAAAGAACAATGAAGGAGGAAAACGATAAGAAAACAATAACTTTAACAAAAATAAAAAAAAAAATAAGAAAAATCCTTTAATCCTGTTGATTCCTTTCAAAATTTTTACTCAACAAAAATATCACAGATACTTGTGTATTCATTCACTTATTGTAAAATATGTGCATACTTAATACAAAAGAATAATTTTTTTGCTTTTATTTTTAGAAATAAAATACGTAAGTCACTATGTATGTTTGTGTAGCAATGCGTATATATGTATGCGTAATAAAAAATATGCTACTTAAAAAAAATCTTTTTAAAAAATTCTCTTTGAGTTTCTCTTTTTTTCAATTTGTTTATCGTTTCCAAAAAAAAAAAAAAGAAAATCTGTTCATTACCACATCTCCCACACCAAATAAAACCCTACTCAGTCAACTTAATATCTTTCAGCTTTTCTTTATATTTAATGCTAAAACTTTATTGCATGGTAGTGAATTTTCATGTTAATTTTTAATGAAGTCCTTTTAAAAAATTTAAATGAATATTTCATGAATGACAAATGAAATTGGGAAAAAAACATCAAAAATAAATTTAATCATATATATATATATATACGA